TATGATTTCATTGCGAATATAGCGGTCAGTGAGAGAGCTGCCTAGATAATGCCCGTATCATTACATTCTTCAAGAAGGAAAATCTTGCACTTGTAAAATAAAAATTAGATCCTCGAAAGAAAGTTCTGCTATTTTGCCGGAGAAGAAAGAATAAAGAGACACCGCTGGATACCGATACAGCAGTGACCACCACTACTCAATTTCCAGAAGTTGCCAGTTTCACGCACTTAATCCACTCAGCAAGGCGCAATACCGGATGATAGGGCGTCAAGGGGAGGATGGGTTTGATGCGGCTTCAGCTTGTTTGTTTCTCATCCTTCCACAAGCGACTGTGCTGCATTATATCGTTCGTATGAGCCACTTTTCAGAAGATGTTGAAGCGGGTTAGGTACTAGTTTCTGTAGCTTCATACTGGAGGAGAACGAGATGGCTGCGCCCCAAACCCAGCCACATCGGCCACGCCCACTTATCCGCAGCGAATAACACTGTACCTCTCAACAACGCTCACCATAACATGGGAGGATGACAAGTCAAAAGCTGATGGGTCTCTGTGGGAAAATTGGGTTCTCTTCAGCATATCACAAATAACCATTTATGAGACCTCCTATGTGCTGTGATGTCACCTAAAAAAGTAGTAAATTAATAATCAACGTCGACCGAAAACGGTGGTATATGTCATCGTTGTTGCTCGATTACTACTGGATTACCGAAAGAGCGGAATCGGAAAGGTGCGCAGCAGACGGACATGAGTCCCGAGTCCGAATAGAATCATGATTATCGTGTAAATGAAACCCTTCTTTAGATCATCTGCCACTGTGGAAGAATGAAGCAGTTTCCATGATAAAGATGTCCAGATGTCGACCTCTCATCGAGTTTCGAGTCGCAACTGGAGTGACATAGATTCATGGTTAGTGCTGAGAGACCGTAGACTCATAGACTTATATTGGTTGATAAATTACGTCTAGGATAAGCTCGGATAATCTTGAGTCGCGTAATTGCGCTGTGTAGGTTGCCTTACCTTTCCACCACAAAATGGATCGAACATTCATCGAGGGGAGCGAACGAAGCTTGGATATCGTGACAAATGTTCTGACAATGAGTCACGAGAGATTGTCTGCCACGTACCTCAAACAAGTCATTCGCCAACTGTAGAAATTGGGAAGTCTTGATTCATACAAAAGTTCAATAGACTTGCCATTTACGAGCCCAGCAAAAGTCCTAGTTGAAAGCGACCAGAAGATATTATTGATAGGTATTGGGATGGTTGAAAACAGTTTGTACAGAAGAGAAACACTCAATAAAACATATACGGCGGTAAATGTGAACACCACGGGGGTGAACGTCTTTTTCACAACCCGTTTTCAAGGAGTTAGCATACAAGAACTGCCCGATCAAATCGAGTGTTTGGTTACAATTGTCGGCAATTCAGATTCATATAAATGTAAAGTTTTAAAGCGATCAACCACAAATAGAGACCAAGTCACCTTAGGCATGCAAAGACTGAAATGTGAGGTTTGAAAAACGTAAGACAAGTTCGGCTTATGAATTTCAAATAATTACATACTAACACCACAACAACCCACCAACCAGTTCTATTTTCTTTTGGCCATAACTTGGGCATTACTTCACGTTGGAACGCTACCATTCTGATTGCTTTTCAGGTACTTCCTGATCTCAGTCACTTGAAAGATGCTTTCAAACGGTACCATGACCTGAAAGGAAACTGACTGTGAGAAGAAAAACGTTCGCATTTCAGAATTTCAAGCTACAGCGAACCGTATCCGGGTAGGGGTACTCGATGAAGTTTGGAAGAACTAATGTCCTGTCGAGATATTTTGTAAACTGCATGACTCCAAGTAGTTGGTCGACCTGATTCCCAAA